TTTTGGCGATTTAATTTCGTTTTTTTGCGCATCGAGGCCGGTGGCCGAGGCGCTTTGTGTCTTTTACACACAGGGGAACAACTTGTCCATGTATGTCTATGGAGGCCCATGGTAACAACTTTCTTTTCCGGTCCCCTTTTTTCCCCTCGAGGCGCATCGACTCGGTTATAGCGTAACATCCACCGCGTCGTTGAAGCGGTTCTGGCGCACTCGACCGCGTTGAAATCGGCCTACCCGTTCTTTCAGACATAGGTTTTTTTACCTTATGCCGCCACGGTTGTTACGGATGTAGTTAAACAATGTACGGAAATCTACATTCGTGCACATGTTTTTCGGCGAATGTTCTGCAAGAAGTTCTTCGATCGCTCAAACAAACTTAAGGAACACACCTAAGAAATCTAAGAAACCTAAGTAACCTAAGAAACCTAAAAAACCTAAGAATTACGTTAATTGTAATTACTAAAGGTCGTTCGTATTTAATTAAGGGACAATTTAATTATAGGAGAATACACAAGAAAACTCGGAAATCTTAGCATTGCGCCGCGATTTTTTCCCGAATATTGTTTTTAGCGAATGTTTTCGTTAAGTGTGGTTGCATTTTCCGTTTTTTCGTGGTTTTTTCCCTTTTTTTTCGTGATTTTTTAACGAACCGATGCCGAAGTGCGCGGTTGTCGCTTAATCTGTGCAAAGCCTTACCCTATGTCCCTCTATGGAGGCCCATGGCAACAATTTTGTTTTTTCGCCCCCTATTTTCCCTTAGAGGCGCAACACAGCGGGAATATTGTATAAACATCCGCGTCGTTTCGACGATTCCAACACATTTTACCGCGTCAAAATCGGCCCACCCGTTCGCGCAAACATCGCGTTGGTTAGTAGTTTCTGTGATAACTGTTTCGAATGCAGATAACCAGTTTACGGAGGACTACATCCGTGCCCAGTTTCGGGGCGCATTTTATTCAAAAAAAAATTTAGAAAAAAAACGTAAGAAAACATAAGAAACATAACATCGTTGCGGCGATTCTGCCATTTTTGACCGCGTCCAAATCTGCCTACCCGTTCACCCAAACATTGCTTTTTTAGGTCTGAACGTCACGGTTGTTCCAGGACAGTTCTGTGGTATTTTTCCTAATATTTTTCGCGCCGAGGCCGAGAGGGCCGATCTAACGTGTAAATGATGCTCGTGCAAGCTCGTGTGCCTATACTTTATGTTAACCGGTTTGGAGCGAGGTCGGAAGCCGAGACTTGCAGGCCCATGGCAACAATTTGTTTTTTGAGGGTCGTGCTCCCCCTTTGAGGCGCATCAGATCGGCAATAGCGCAACATCACCCGCTTCGTTGCGACGATTCTGGCGCTCTTTACCGCGTCAAAATCGGCTTACCCGTTCGTCCAAACATAATTTTCTTAGCAAAGGCCGTCATGGCTGTTACGGATGTAGTTAACAAGCTGAGCACGGATGAATATTGGATTACGACTATTTAAAATTACATACGTCGTATCTTGATGTGTTGAATTGTGTTGCAAATTCAGAATAAAAGCCAGACAGCTACAAAGTACTTATTCAGGATGGTTGCCTGCGGTGAGCATCGTGGATTATTAACAATTTTCCCCTTGAGTTTTTTCGCGCGTCTGATCACTTCGGCCGCGTTACATTTCGGCCGCACAGGCTCATTTCGGCCAACGTTCATTTCGGCCGTGGCTCACTTCGGCCAACACTCATTTCGGCCAACACTCATTTCGGCCAACACTCATTTCGGCCAACGCTCATTTCGACAACTGGATGTGTCGGCCATCTTAGGCTCTCTTAGGTTTCCTAGGTTTTCTTAACAAGTTTTCTTAAGTCTTCTTAAGTCTTCTTAAGTCTTCTTCTGTTTTCTTAGGTTTTCTTAGGTTTGTTATGTTTTCTTAGGTTTCTGGAGTTTCTTAGGTTTCTTAAGTTTTTTTTTTATGTTTCTTAGATTATGAACTTATGGTTTATTTGGCTTTCTTAGGTTTTCGTATTTATTTTTAGGTTATTCGCAGGTGATTTAAGATCTGATGATTTCTTTCCGTTTTTTTGTTGTTCTGAGTGTCGTGCGGTTAACTCACCCGGGACGGTAGACTTAGTGAGATCGATCATATGACGGTCGACGATGTGTTAATAAGAACACTTGGAAAAGAGAGACATAATGGTGCATTGGTGAAAATAGCACTTCCAAAATTTGTTTGAAAAACAGTGCGTGCAGGATGAAATAGAAATAGAAGGAAAGTTCGTGTCAACGATAATTATTCAGTTACTTTTACGCTGCAGAATAAAAGTTTAGGCAACGCCTATTTCCGCCGAAATGTACTTTGGCCGAAGTGAATTGCGGCCGAAATGAATGACGGCCGAATTGAGCGGCGGCCGAAAAACTTTGGCCGAAATGAGCGCGGCCGAAATGAAAACGGCCGAAGTGATCGGTAGCCCAACCGAACAGCTGTTCAAATTCAACCGAATTCAACCGAAGATCGTTCTTACACCGATCCACTGTCTAGCATGTTTTTCATATTTTAAAATGTATTTTTAAAATTCGGAAAAATTCGTGGAAGTCTGGATCGGTGTAAGAACGATCTTCATGGTAATGTGAATTTATGTGCAAAATTTAAAAGGGATCGATCCATAATAAGACTTTTGGTACACCTGAATGCATTTAAACTTTTTGGAATTTTCTTACCCTCATAACTCCGCAACTGGATGTTGCGCGGGAAAACGGATTTCAGGCCTATGTATACAAATCATTTGGCATATACTAGTACGTTGGCGCGTTAATTTAACTGTTCACTTGTCAATTTCACTTGTTAATTTCAAGGAACTGCTATACAATCATAATTACTTCTGCAATTTTGACTTACTATCGTTAACTGTAACAATTTTACTGCATAAGGGTTCAACAATTGCCCGCGGATGAGTAATTTCCCTCATCCGTGTATAATGGATGGCTACGGGACCTAGTCCGAAGGATTTCTTCGGAATCCTTTCGGAGGCTGTCGTGGCAGCTTGGGCTCCCTGACACTTCGGCCGCCGGACATTTCGGCTGCATGACATTTCGGCCGCCTTAAAGCCCGTTCAATTCGGGCGTAAGAAAACCTAAGAATCTAAGATTTGCTAAAAGATCTAAAAAACCTAAGAAAACCAAAATAACCTAAGAAAACTTAAGAAACTTAAGAAAACCTAAGTAGACCCAAGAAAACCAAAAAAATCTAAAACCTAAGAAACCGAAGAAAACCTCAGAAATCTAAGAAAACCTAAGAAGACTTAAGAAAACCTAAGAAAACCTAAGAAAAACATAAAAAATATCAGGCAGCCGAAGTGTCGGGCAGCCGAAATGTCAGGCAGCCGAAGTGTCATGCGGCCGAAATGGCAGGATACCGGCAGCTTGTCCGGTAGTTATCAGGCCTCCACCGTGCTGCACTCTGTAAGTTTCTCTCTTCTGGGTCATGTACTTCCCATTCTGCCGTGAGGTTTTTGTCAACAGCTGCGATGACGTGGACCTTCCCCCAAATTTCAGCTTATCTACAAGCGCCAAGGCAGTCATCTAGGCAGTGGGAACTGCCTCGAGCGCCAAGCACAGCGACTTGCAGGGCCTAAAAACTTGTGCTCACATAGCACAAAATGTGCTCACATAAAACTGCGTGTGCTCACCTAGATTGGAACTTGTGCTTAAAAATTGCCAATACTCCCCTCTTCTCTGTAATTAATCGGCTTTCTGATGTTTTTTTATTTTTAAAAGAGTAAAAATTTTCACAAACGAACACGAGAAACGTTGTAACTCAGTGTGTATCAACTACCAAGTTATCTTGTACTAAAACATGCGCCAGTGGGCACATCACTTACAGGTTACTCAACCACTCTTCTGGCGAGCAAAACAGCATAATCATGCTCTTGTTGCACGAACTATTTCATAGTTATAATAAAATTAGTTCGAGTTTCGAACGCAGTTTTAGTGTGCATCGGATCGTACGACACCGGAAATAAGCATTAAGCCAGCGAGCTCACAGAGATGGCTACGCCTTCTTAGGGAATCTCTAGCCGACTGAACTGGCTGGAAAATCAGCAATTTGAAAAGTAAGCCTAACCCGTTTGAGTCCTCTGTGATGGTTTCAACTTCACGCGGATGATCTCGCGGTCATTCGAGAGAATGGTCTCTCAGGCTAGACATACGGTATTCTATTCAACAGCGAATGTCTCTACACAGTAAAACAGAGATTGCCTTCTGCGTAAAGAAAATGCTTCCCGAAGGGTGCAACAGAGATCTTGTTGTGTCCACATTTGTTGTTATTATGTCCAAAATACTGATCTGCGTCTTTCTCAATATCTGGCATTGGATTTACACAATGAAACATTGCAATTATTCTCATTACTTACTACGTACAACAAAGTCGGTATTATGCATGTGAGACTTTATGCAGCGTCGGAAAAGCAGCCCGATAAAATAGTTGCATTTTCGACCTGATGATGGCCGGCAATTAAATTGATTAAGCAAACAAAGTGCCAACGCCGCTTGTGCAAATGTGGACCGACTCTGCGCAGCGTTAGACGGCTGCTTACTGGCGGCACGGCACAACTAGCCTGAACATAGTGTCAGACACAGCTGGACGTCCACCATCAGCTCGAAGTTGAACGGCTACTACTAGTACGTGGTAGCAAAATTGGGGTGTTCCAAGAGTGTGGTTACGTTAAAATATGCTCACTTCCAGTAAAGTATAAGGGGTATAATTTTGTATATATTGGCGCATATAATATATCCGCCGATATATGCCATATACTCTGTACGATTTCCTTCGTATACGATGCACTTTGTACGCATAATGTACTTCGTATCTTTCCAAGTGGATCGATTGTCTTACTTTATAGTACAGTACTTAGGCGACCTTTAGAGTATCGATAACCGATCAAGTTCGGTATTATTTTCATTAACTTCTGTAGTGAAGAAAATAAAAGAATGATTAATTCAATGATCAGTTTGGAACTTCGGACAGCCAAATATGGACACCGCAGCCGAATGCCAGCCGTAAGGTCACCTTTTTATCCCGCCATCTTCAGATTATGGGCAAGACGGAAGCACCCTTCGCGAATTCTGTATTAAATCAACAAACTCGAAACATTTCTATGAGTGAATAACTTCCACACCTTAAATTTATCTCGTTAAGCACTAGCGCGGCCGACATTTGTAATCACAAAACGAAACAAAACCAAAATATTTTGCTGAGTAAGTACCCTAATTTTTATTGAATTTCTCGTACTTTCTGGCCGAAAAGCATCGTCAGCTTCGCGCTTCGCGCGGGGGTTCGATTCGGAGCTCATCTCGTATTTTATGTTACCATTACGAATACGCCAGTTATACTCGCCCCCTTAAAAGCTTCTGCACATTTGTACACTGTATGTTATTGTATCTGCGGTATCAGCCGCTGTGAAAATCCAAGAAAATAATGAAGACCCCCCTCTTTGGAAAATTAAGTGTGCTCACCTAGATTTTGAAGATTTTAGGCTCTGGCGACTTGGGCACCCTGTTGGTCCTCCACAAGCCCAGAACCAAGCACACCATTCTCCTCCGAATGCAGCTGGGGCGCCTCCACCTCCTTTCATCTCAGCTAGGAGGAGAATTATGCGGCGTATACCGAAAGCAGCACGCGCCTCCGTCGCGATAGCCTTGACAAAGCTTATGCGGAGCGCTGTGTCTACCAATGATTCCTCTTCATGGTTGAAGCTGCTGTCCGCCTCCTCAGCTATTCTCTCCCTTCCAGGCGCTAATAAGAAATCACGGAAAACCTCGATTACCTCTTACATCCGTGACCGGATTGCCAGATTCGAGAACGGCGAGCTCGAAAGCGAAGAACGAGAAGCCCCTGGCAAGCCTCGACACGCTACTCCCGATGAAGAGAGTACCCGTCGCGTGGGTATTCAAATTGATGACTTTAACGTCAGTGGAGCCGTACGCACCCTGTTTTCATCCGACTCTATAGTTGACGCGACCCCGATTGTTATTGAGTCCATGAAGGTAAAACACCCAGCAGCTCCGTTGCCTACACTCCCGACTGCATCCCCAGCCTCTACATTTGTTCCGCTTACTCCCGTAGAGGTTTTGTCCGTTTTAGAGGCGATGCCACGTGGCAGCGCAGGAGGCCTGGATTACCTGCGCCCACAACATTTGCTGGATCTAATAAGCGCAGGAACAGATGACGCCGCGTCCGATCTGTGTGATACCCTGACGGACCTGCTCAATCTTATCCTGGCGGGACAAGTACCTCAGGATATTGTTCCGCTGCTCTGTGGCGTACATCTCGTTGCTCTACGCAAAAAGGACGGAGGACTGCGCCCAGTTGCCGTTGGAAATGTATACAGTCGTATTGTCGCCAAGGCGGTGGGTATCCGAATTCTACCAGTCACATCGGAAATTCTCCAACCACACCAACTTGGTTCCGGAGTAAAGAAGGGAGTCGAAGGAATTACCCACGCCACCAGAAACTTTCTCCTTAAATACAGCAATGGGGTTAAAGCACTTCTTAAAATTGATTTCAAAAAAGGTTTTAACTGCGTCTCTCGAGAAGAAGTACTGCGGATAGTTGCCGACGTCATTCCGGAATATTACGCCTTTATCAAAATGTGTTACAGTTCATACTCGTCGCTGTTTTTGGGAGAAACGGTTATTTTCTCTCAGTCTGGCGTGCAGCAAGGAGATCCTTTTGGGCCCGTGTTGTTTTGTCTGGTACTGCAGTTCATCGTCGACAAACTGAACTCCTATCTGAACGCGTGGTACATGGATGATGGAACGCTAGGAGGAACTCCATCGGAAGTAATCCGTAACTTCCAGTTTTTGGTTTTCGAAGCTAAAAAGATTGGCCTGGAAGTCAATATTGCAAAGTGCGAATTGTTCTTGTGCGGGGGCACCGAAGCACAGCGTTCATCGGCCGCTAACGAGTTCACTAGTTTATTCCCCGGAATAGCTATAATCACAGCGGATAAACTGAATTTGCTCGGGTCGCCCCTTCTACCATCTGCCGTAATCCCGATGATCAATGAAAAGATCAAGTAGCTGGGATTTATGTGCGGCCGCTTGCAGTTAATCCCTAAACACCAAGCGCTTTTCCTGTTGAAGAACTGCCTGGGAATTCCAAAAATAGTGCACATCTTGCGCACCTCTCTTGCATGGATGTTTCCACAGGAGTTGTACAGGCTGGACCAGGTCTTTCGCGAAGCAGTGGAAACCATAACCAATGTAAGGATGGACCACCCAACATGGCTCCAGGCCTCCCTTCCCGTCCGTTTCGGTGGTTTGGGGATCAGACGCACAGAGAAGCTACCTCCCTCTGCCTACTTGGCATCGGTTTCTTCGTTGCACCAACTGATTTCCGGACTGTGCCCCACACTAGCGGCAACGGATATCACCACAGCTACCCGCTCTTGGAAGTTAGAGGCCAACACTGACGATATTCCGGGACAAGCTTTCCGACACGTCCGGAAAGCCTGGGACACTCCACTAACCCTGAATGCATTTTCAAGGCTGACTACACTACGGACTTCACAGGAAGAAATCGCGCACCTTAAGGCGGTATCAGTCCCGGAATCTGGCGTGTGGATTCATGCATTACTCGCCGTTTGCCTCGGTAACCTGCTGGAGGACAACGCTATCCGCATCAGTGTTGCGTTGCGTCTGGGAGCGCCGATCGTTACCCCACACGTGTGCGTTTGTAGAGGGTTAGTCGACGAGCTAGGCCGGCATGGACTTCGCTGTAAGCGGTCTGCCGGAAGACTACCACGACACGACGGAATCAGCGCAGAATTTGCCCGAGGTCTGAAGTCAGCAGGCTTTCCTTCTAGAATGGAAGGTCTGTCCGTGAAAGATCTGTCCGTGAAAGATAAGAAAAGGCCGGATGTGATTACACTTATACCGTGGACACGCGGAAAGCCGCTGGCCGTGGATGTTACCTGCGTGGACACGCTGGCGGCCTCGTATATCGACCGCACCTCCGTGAACGCCGGCGCAGCAGCCGAACTCGCGTAAAGGAAGAAACTTTCGAAACACGCCTGGCTGCAACCAAGATACGATTTTGTTGCCGCTGCCTTCGAAATTTACGGACCTTTGGGAGACGGAACAAAAAAGCTAGTGGAGAAGGTTGGAAACGGTATAGCGACTTCCACTGGCCAGAAGCAAGCGAAAGCGTTTTTTAAGCAGCGAATATCTATGCAAATACAACGGGGAAACGCGATTTGTGTAATGGGTACGCTCCCCTATCAGGATAGCATGGAGGAAGTTTTTCTGTTATAATAACGTTCTGTTTTGGTACTAAGTTTGTACTTGTACTACGATACTTATTAAAGGTCATTCTATTTGGCTACACAATGTGTTTGGAACCTAAACCTAAAAACGCAACCTAAAAAAGTGTTTGGAAGTGCGCGTTTTTTTCTAGCTATGTTGCACGGGGCGGCCGATTAAAATACAGATCTATTTTCTTGATACTTATATAAAGACCAGAAAATTTACGCTCCTTCAGTTACGTAGTCGCCTCGCGAAGTAATGTAATTAACAGTCGAACGAACTTAAATCACCTAATCAATTTCTTATATTCGACATCCCAGTTTCTGGATTTTTACAACGGGTTTAATGCAACCTTTGTGCTTATAAGTTTGAAAATGCTTTCCCTAATAATTATTAGGTGAATTAACATGCCCTATAAGCAGGCCCGCGCTCAAGCTCTCACTCTGACTCAGACTCTGACAGCTGAAACTCTGACTCTGACTACTCAAAGTCTGGCTCTGACTGTCCTAAGTCTCAACCTAAGAAAAATCTGAAGAAACCTAAGAAAAAACCTAAGAAAACACCTAAGAAACCTAAGAAAACCTAAGAAACCTTCAGAATCAGCAGACGTTGAGCGGTCAGAGTCAGACTTTGAGCAGTCCGAGTCAGGGTTTGAGTGGTCAGAATCAGAGTTTGAGTGGTCAGAATCAGAGTTTGAGCCTAAGCCCTTTAAGCATAACAAAGTGCAGAAAATCATAAAGCTCAGTCTGCTTTATGATTGTGGACGGTCTGAATTTTTTTTCTGATGGCAAATTATTTGAGCAAGATCGGCTTTGCCGTTGGCGTTGTTAAAAGCAAATCGAAAATTAATACGGTAAAAAATGGTCCATTTCATTCTGCACTGTTTGCAAGCATTTTCACCCGATTAACCTTGCGATGTTCCAAAGCGGTCTCTTCAATGTCAAATTAAAGATTTAAATTAATATCAAATGGAAGATTGTCATGGAAATGAAATGAATAGATACTTACTTAAATAACACCGATTTCGAGCATTATTATGTAAGCCGACTTCCATCTTTGTACGTTTGTTCTCCCGTTAGCACGATCTTTTCGAATCGGTCCTAAAACCAGACGCACGGTATGCGAAAGTAAACGAGACAGCTTAAAGGATTGCGGGAATCAGCCAATACCGATGCACCTTTTCAGGTCCGTACCCCTCGAAGCACCGATCAATTCCATAACTCGGCGCTTATCCCATTTTTTTGACGGAGACAGTGTTGTGTTACTGTCAATTTCCAATTCGCTTTTACTGTTTACTATACCACGGTTTTCTTTTACTTTACTTTTATTGTTTTTTTCTGCAGGGTTTACTGTTTAATTTACTGTTTACTGCTAATGAAAAAATTTGCTTACTCAGTAAACTTGGTATTACTTACCAGGGAACATTTTCCTCCTCCAAATTCAAAAAATTCTCATGTTTTGTAAAATGGTAGTGTACTATTGTAGTATGCTCGAAAAAATATTTTTATCTGCCATCGTCAAGGGGGCGTGGCCAGACAACAATTAAAAGTTTGCATGCTGTCACATATCTGTACGAGGGCATTTGGGTGCTGTGAACATACCCTGCACGATTAGGCTGCGATGAACAGCTGGTTAGCCGTAGCTCGCAACGCTACTGATATCACAGTCTGAATGCAAACGGCTATAAGTTTAGCCGGCTGTTCATCGCAGCCTAATCGTGCAGGGTATGTTCACAGCACCCAAATGCCCTCGTACAGATATGTGACAGCATGCAAACTTTTAATTGTTGTCTGGCCACGCCCCCTTGACGATGGCAGATAAAAATATTTTTTCGAGCATACTACTGTGACAGCTGGCGAACAAAGGCTCACGATAGTGAGAGAAGGCTTTATTGTGATAGCAATAAAGTACAGAGAACCAAAACACAAAGGGCTCGATGTGAGCTGTAACGTGAAAATCACCGAATGTCAGCTAGTGAATGCTAATGAACGGCACATCGAGCCGAAAGCATGGGAAAAGCCTATGCGGCACACTGGGCAGATCCAACACGAGCGAACGAACGCTGATAGGCCGAGATGTGGAAGTGGGGCGTGGCTCCGCCTACATCGAGGCCGGTGATTGGCCGAGACGTAAGGCTGGGCGGAAAGCTGCCTGAGTCGAGGCCGATCTAGCGCTCGACAGCGAGTGCGACTCGGTGTGAGTCAGCACACCGGAAGCGGGACTGTCGCTGGCTGCTATACTCGTAGGCTGCCATAGCGACTGGCCCAACATGCCTCTGGGCGGGAGTCCGAGCCCCTGCGAAGGACCGGCCTCATACCGCTCCAGTGCCCGCTCCGCACACGACCCTATTGGGGTCGGTGGCTGCGCCTCGGAGGTATCCGATGATGTGGGTGTCTCGTGCCGCGTTCTCCTCCGGACCCGTGGTGGCGATACAACTCACGGCCGAAATCCGAAGGTCGGTCGGTGGTATTGTTGGACCGGTGTAGGCATCTGTTGGTCGTGTCCGTAACGGCGAAAAAGTAAAAAAAATAAAGTATTATTCCATTCGTCTCTCTCTCTCTAGTAAAAATAACATCACAATTCCTGGTGAGCAGGTTACAAAAAAAAGATCAATAAAATGAGAACATCATTTCGAGATTAGAAAAAGTAAACTCAAAGTCTTTGGTCCGGGGCTTTGGGCCGGGTGCTTATTCCGACTAGAGCTCGTCCGCTTCACGGGGGCTCCAGTCCACTGGAAGTCCGGTCATCTAGGTCCGAGGCATCGGTTCTCGGGATACCCAATGGTACCGGTTCAATTCACCGAGGGTCGAAGGTTCGACCCTATTGACTTCGGGTAAGAGTATGGATCTCCGTTGTCGGGTGCGAAACGGGCGTGAAACACACTTTCCGACCGGGATCCTCCGGTAAAAGCTTGATTAGAACCTTCATAGCCGGGTAAGGTTGCTCGTCCTCACATCCAGCCGAGGTTCATCGGGTGAGGTTGATGGAGAGGCACTGTCGCATTCGCAAATACCGTAAGGTACCCTCTCTGAGTGCAAGATAAGACCTATTGGGTCTATTGATCGGTGGATCCTCCGGGGAAGCCCGGTGATCCGAGGTTGGATCCGGGCAAAACCGTAATGTTGTGTCCTGTCGCCTATTGGGCAACAAGGACCGGTTGATGCCTGGTCTCCATAAGGTTTAATGGTTGATGGACGTGGTTTACACTGCACCGTGCAGTGTAAACCACGTCTGGTCCAAATGATGTTATGGCCTCTGTGCGGGAGTCCGACCCTTCAAGGTTTTGAAGTCCGATGGTAGCCTCGGTAACCGAGGGTCAGCTCCGGTTGCAAAATCAGAGTCCAAGCTCAGCCTCGGTTGCTGAGTCTAAGTCCATTGGCAGCCTCGGTACTCGAGTTAGAGTCCGGGGTGTACCCTCGGCTGCGCTGGTAGATCGTGGTTACGCGATGTGCTGAGTATTCTGTCCGGTCAAAATCCCCAAATCTGTCTCCTGTCACCTATTGGGTGACTTAGAGGGGGTGGGTTCCGGACTTTGAAGGTTGAAGTCCGAGGGCGGGTAGCCTCGGTATCCAAGGATCAATCTAGCCTCGGTTGGTTAACGAATGACAGTCTGATGGTCGCTTCATCCCGGCAAAACCCTTATTGACGGTGTAGGTCGCCTATTGGGCAACTCTACCGAGGGTCTCACCGGTAAGATGAAGTCGCTACCCGGGGCAGCCTCCGTGTCCGGGGTAGCCTCGGTGGTGAGGTAGTCAGCATCTGGTAAGGCTGGTCCTAAGGCGTTCTGCCCGGGCAAAAACCCTTTTTAACGTCTCCCGTCACCTATTGGGTAACATGGAGAGGGTTAATGCCTCTGGACAGGGTCCCAGCAGGTATCCGAGGGTCAGTTAGCCTCGGTATCCGGGGGTCCAAACCTCGGTAACCAGACTGGCCCAACATGCTCTGGTGGGAATCCGCTTGATGCTGGGGATGTCCACCGGGTTACTAGGAAAGATCATGCAAAAGAGGCTCCCCGACAGCTATTTAAGACCTAATTGGGTCTAAGCTGCGAGGTGGACACTCTAAGTTTTAAAGACGGAATCCATGCTGGTCCGTTCCTTGGCTGATCCCGTGCTTCCACTTAGGCGAAAACACCCGGGATGCCGGAATAATGCCTTGGCTAAAGGCCTATTGGGCCTATTGGCGTAGTTATGGGCATCCGTAGCCTCCGTTGGGGGTTCAGTCATGTCGGACGCGGAGGAATGCTTATATACCGGTGTTGTATATACGCATTCACCCGTGTACCCTAATGTCCTGGTACATCCTTCCGGTGACCACGGTCCGATTTGCGGTGAAATGGTCGTGCCGGTCACTCCCACGTTCTACCAGCTCCATAGTTGATAGAAAGTGTGAGTGTGCCCTAATATCCCACTTCGTCCGTTCCGGGGTGGAATGGAGGCCTATTGGGCCCCGATGGGCATCCTTGGAAAGGTAGAGATCGTGGTTATACGCGATCTGCGAAGGCTTGCATCCTCCGAGGGTCCTTCTGCCGGAGGGACAGGCCGGTGGAGCGAAGCGGATCGCGCCGCGCAGCACCGTCCCGTCGCTTTTCGTACGACGGATTCCGCCGGAGTTATGCTGCCGAGGCCTATTGGGCTCTCGTGCTGACTTCAAGTGGAGGTCAGTCAACCAGCTATTACTCCGATTCCCGGGGTGTCCATGAGTCGTTGGCAAACACGGTGCTGAAAAGGGCAGTCGCTTTTTCGGCACCATGTTAGCGGAATCCTCTTGGGTTAAGTTCCGGAAATTAGTCATATGGGTTCGCTGACCGAGGAGGTATCGCGTCCTGGGTCAAGGTAATCCATACTCAGTTGAGAGGTTGAGTCGTGCGGATCGGGTTGTCAGGAGGTATCGCTTCCTGTACCACACGGTCCGCATTCGGTTGAAGGATGAGAGCCTATTGGGCTCAGAAGGTCGGAGTTATGGAACTGTAGTTCCACCGGGGTCCTTCTGCCGGCTGGGTGCGAGCAGGAATACCCGGCAGATCATGCTGGGAACTCCTGGTCAACCTCCTTACGTGCGAAGGGTCCAATGACGAGGCTGTTACCTGGGCTTCATCGGTATAGGGTTTGTTACTTCCTATGCCAACAAGGTCCGGGCTGGTAGGATCCGAGAGTAAG